CTTAGTGCAAACTGAAAATCTTTTTAGAAGCATATTTATATGGGCTATAAATAGTAAATTAAAGGGTCCTTACACTTGATGCGAGTTTGAGTTCATCCTATTGGTTGAGCCACTTGCATTTTACATGACCTTGGGGAGCAGGGATCAGAAACCTGTGGAGGGTAGATTCCTAAAAAAGATTTACCTACTTACTATTCAGCCTTGCAATCTTATAGCCTGAACTAAAATGGAAAAGAGATTTTTAAAAATCCAGATAATCACATGCTGGGTGAAGTCACACCAACAGAAAGGCTGTCATTGTGACCTGAACATCAATTAATGACAGCTCAGTGACAGGGTGATGCCGGGGAGGAATTAACACCAGCAGTCACTCCTGGATACTCCACCTGGGCTCCTCTTAGAAGAGGTGTTAACAAAACACATTAGAAGTTATTGACAGAAGCACAGTTAGGCAAGCCACTTTAAAATAATCAGGCCGTAAGTGATACAAGAAATTCAAATCTCCAGCTGCACCTTGAGAGGAGAAAGAGTAAGACTGGCATGGAAGGGTTTGGGGGAAAATTATTGAATGGGCATTATTGAGCTTGTGGCCTATTCTATGTTCAAGTAAAGTCACTTGAGGCAACTGTGGAAGTGGGATTGTAATGTAGGTCAGTCTGGCTCCAAAGCTAGGACTTTCTTCCTAGGTGGAGAGAATTTTATCTCAGAATCTCCAGGTGGTAAGGAATCGCCCATTGCAGAAAATACAGCGACCCTCTTATTAGGTCTTTTCTCATGAAGGCTCTACTGGTCTCCAGCCTACGAGTTTCATATTCATGAATAGGTCTGAACTCAATTCAAATTTACAGCACAAAACATATTAATATTATATCCCACAACTATAGGCAGTTTACTTGATGTCCTTTCATTTGTTTCCTGTGTGTGTGAAAACAAGAACAGTATTCCTCATTGCCAATCCATGCAGAGACTGGTTAAAAGAAACAGATGTATGGAAAGCTCTAGACACAATCAGAAGTTCTGAACATCTTCATTTTAAAATAAAGGTTTACCATTCCTTTCAGAAGAATCTGTCTTTAGCAATCATTTTAGTTCTAGAAGCACCAAATGAGCAATTGATTGGGCCAAGAAAAAGGTTCACCTGGGCAGTGAATCTCAAGCAGAGACAAGCATGGGCCCTGACAGGGACCTGCATGCCAAAAGCAATTGACTTTTTACAGATTTTGCAATCCAGTGTTCAACTTTATTTTTTTTTTTAGAG